GCCTTATTTTTTGCCATTTCCTTCAAAGCAGCCTGAACTTCTTCTTCATCACCATAGGCTCTTGCTCATATGTTGTTTCATGAAATTCCTCTGTGTCTGCCAATTCCTTTTGATACAGTGACTCAGTATATTCTGTCTATCTTCTTTTAATACTTCCTGGACCATTTAATATTCTGCCTAAAGCATCCTTGATTACATGGGATATTTAACATTCTTATTTAGCAACACAACTCAAAGGAATTAATTCTTCTTTCATCCTTATTTGTTGTCTGGCACTCAAATTCATAGCAGGTGATTATTGCTTAAATCAGGTAAACTTAATCTTTGACCAACAATGAGCTGAAACTAAAATCTTGCTCTTTAGGAATTTGGAGAGGTCCCTGACAGCTGATTCCCCCGTTGTTATGCACCTGCAGATCTCCTGACTGCTTGTAGGTTGTTGATTGTGGATCTAAGCAAGATTAAATCAATTACAATTATCAAAGGAATCTCTGAAACTTGCTCAGGAACATAGAAAAGCCAAAGCAAAGAAATGACAAAGAGTGGAACACATTATCGTACATTAGGGTTTTAGTAGTAGATTAGGGTGTTTTTATGCATTTTTTGAGAATGTGTACTGTGCTAGTTAATATTTTAGAGTTGTCATTTTAAATTTAGACTACAGAATTTGCCATCAAGGACCTCTTTAGAGTCCTAAGCAGCAAGGATATCTGGTTAAAACTAATATGTGTGTCACCCAAGCCATGATATTTTCAACTGCTTCATATGCTTGTGAAAATTGAATGATGAATAAATAATACTGAGAAGGAATTCATGTCTTCAAACTGCAGTGTTGGCATAGATCATTGAAGATACCATGGATTTAGAAAAGAACAAACAAATATGTCTTGAAAGAAGCACAGCCAGAGAGCTTCTTAGAAGCAAAAATTATGAGACTTCGTCACATACTTTGGGAATGTTGTTAGGAGAGGCTATTCCTTGGAAAAGGACATATAAAGTGTGGCTTGGGGTAGGGAGGGGTGGGAAAGGCCCTCAATGAAATGAATTGACATGGTGACTTCACCAGTGGGCTTGAGCATTACCAGGATTGAGCAAATGGCACAAGATCGGGCAAGATCCCCATCTGCTTTGTAGAGGGTAGCTCTGAATTGGCATCAACAGCACCTAACAACAATAACAACAGATGCTCCATTTGGTAATAAATAGAATATGTCATTGCAGGAACACAGATCAGAACAAGTTCAGAGGAAAAAATATGTGTCATTTCTAATGCGTTACAACTTGAGGTCTAAGTGTGTGCATGCAGTGTACTGGCGAAGCATGCTGACTTTGAAAATTCTGCACTATTTACACTGCCCTTTATCTTTCACATTCTTTCTTTAGTATGGGACTGATTTATGCATTACAGTAACTCTTCCTTGAGCTTTTTGTTTTATTGAGTTTCCATAGCCTCAAGCATGAGTAGTATAAGGTCTATATTAGTTCTACAATCCTTTGATAAAAACATCATTATTTCTTATCTTGCTAATAAGCCTTCTCTAATGGCCCAATAAGTGTGAAAAGAGTAAAAATTCCTCATTTTGCAATTTATCCAATGCTCTGATCACAGAATTGTATCGTGTATTTCTTGCTCTTTATCTGTCTGATAAAATATGATGTTTAATCTCTTATTTTTTTAAGAGTAGCCATGTAAAAATTAGATTTTTGCATTAGTTTTCAAGTGCCAGCTTTCAAACTTCTTAAAAAAAAATGTAATGTGTTCATACTTTTAGAAGAAGCTTCTTTATTTCAATCTGAATTATACATTAAATTCTGCTTTGAGACAAACAAAAAGTACAGAGATATACTACTTGGAAAAAAAACAGAGCATCTTTCAATTCATACCTAGGAATTGATGGAAATTAAATTCCCTGTATTTTCAGGCTTACAGGATAATGTTAATGTTATTCATTGTAATAATTCTTAATAACAATGATTGAGAAGCAATACAAGATTTTTAATAATCAAAAGTAGACTTAATTATGTTCATTACATTCTACTTTTTTAATGAAGACTGTTAACCAAAAGAGTCAAAATAGTGTTTTCTGGGTAACGTTAAGTTAATAAAAATAGTTTAATTCAATAGACTATCCAATTTCCCCAGTCCTTTTAATTAATCAAAATAGTCTTGCATTGCTATAGTAACATGCTTGTCACAACTTCAAGTAATCAGCTGAATGACCTTACGTAAAACATTTAATCATTGTCATGTAAGACCCTACTGATACTAGCATTTGATTTCAAGCAAGAGATTGTGAGACAGAGGAGGGAAAATCCTTTATTGCATATAAGACATTTTAATTTCCCTAATATGTATTCTCACACTGATTTATAGGATTCTTAAGAAATTCCACAAATCAAAAAGAAAAGGGAAGCATCTGGGTACATAAGGTTTGTACCACTTTCTATAGACTTTCACTCAATTTTACACTTAATGCTGTAGTAGATAGGCAGTTACCTTGTTAAAAATAATTATATATAATACAAACTGGGTTTAGAAGATGTCGCGGGCACCAGAGATATTATCACCCATGTCAGATGGATCTTGACTAAGAGCAGAGAATATCAGGAAAATATCTGTGTTGTGCAAAGGCATTTGACTGTGTGGATCACAACAAGTTGTGGCTAACTTCGAGAATGGAAATCTCAGAACACTTGGTTGTGCTCGTGCAAAAACTGTACTCAGACCAGGAAGGAAGCAGTCATAAGAATAAAGCAAGGAAACAGTGCATGGTTTAAAATCAGAAAAGGAGTGCATCAGGGACGCGTCCTATCTCCCTACCTTTTCAAACTGCATGCTGAATGGATCATTTGGGAGGCTGGGCTTTATGAGGAGGAGTGTGGCGTCGGGATTGGAGGAAGAGTCATCAACAGCCTACATTATGCCGAAGCCACAACTTTGCTTGCTGAAACTGAGGAGGACCTGAAGCCCTTGCTGCAAAAGGGCAAGGACTGTAGTCTTCAATATGGATTGAAGATCAGCATCAAGATTCTCACCCCTGGACCAATTGGCAGAACCATGATAGATGGAGAAGATTTTGAGGTTGTTAACAATCTCAGCTTGCTTGGCTCCACTACCAACACTCTAGGCACCAGAAGTCAAGAAATGAAAAGACAAGTTGCATTAGGTCAGTCTTTCGTCAGGGGTCTTTCCAAGTACTGAGAAACAACACTGTCAGTCTAGAAGAGACAAAGATATGCCTAATCCAGACCATGGTCTTCATCATTCATTACTTGCTATGCATCAGAGATCTGAACAATTATTAAAGATGACAGAAGAAGAATTGATGCCTCTGAGTTGTGGTGCTGGAGCAGAATCTTGAACATACCACGGACTGCCAATAAAACAAATAAGTCTGTCTTGGAGAGGGTGAAACCAAGTTTCTCCTTGGAGGCTAGGATTTTGAAGCTCCATCTCACCTCATTTAAGCATGTGACCAAGAAGGATTTGTCCTTCGAGAATGACATTATGCTTGGAAAGGTGGAGGGACAGACCAGGAGAGGAAGACCCCAGATGAGATGGATTGACACAGTAACTGGGGCAATGCAGGTACGTTTGTCAGAGCCAGCGAGACTGTCTCAGAACAGAGCAAGCTTCAGAGCTTTTGTACATTGGATTGCTATGAGTTGGAGGAGACTTGACAGCACGTAACAACTACAACAACGTATAGCAATAATATGAAATAGGGATATATATAGTAAATAAAATGTACAATTTTATTTTAACAACAGTATATACACATAGAGATTATCCCATATTTAGACAGCATTTCTCTGAGTTGTGAATATTCCTCAGTCAGTCTCATCTTTTTTCTTGAACTTCATATAAATAAATCACATAGCATGGCTATTATATATATGGTTTCTTTTTGATCAATGGAATAGTTTTGAGATTCATCAACACAGCTTTGTTTATCAGTGTATGTACATGTGTATAAAATGACACTTCTTAGATAAAAACAGTGACCTTGAGTCTGCCATACTAGATCAAAACAAATTCTTACCCTAGCGTTAATGTTCCCATACACAACATGATCTTGATTCCTGCAACTCATTTGTGGTAACACAATAGGATTCTGGAGTTCATGATATCTTTTAAGACAATAAATATAGTTGTAACTAAATAATTCTATGTTGATTCTTGTATTCCAAAAAGGAACAAAAGTTTTTATGATAAAATTTAGAAAAATTGAAATCAAACAAGAAAATTTTATTTTCTTCTTCCTCTCTTTCTTTCTTTCTTCTTTGGATTACAAGAGACCTAGAGAGGTGAAACCAGGCTGCTCCTTGAAGGCAAGAATTTTGAAGCTTCATATCTCATACCTTGGGCATGTTTCCAGGAGGGACTAGTCCTCAGAGAAGGACATCATGCTTGAAAGGGGGAGGGACAGCTCAGGATAGGGAGACCCAATGTGAGATGAATTAACTAAGTGACTGGGGAAGTGAGATTGGGGCTTTCAGAGAAAATGAGATTGTCACAGGATAGAACAGGGTTCACAGGTATTGTACATAGGGGGTTACTATGAGTCACAAGCAACTCAGTGGCACATAACAACAACAAATTTTATTAAAAAGAATTAATACTTTCCTTTGACATTGAAAGCATCTCTATTCCTAATGCATGAATCCTTTGTTAAATGATAATTTATTGTGTGTCTTTCTTGGTCAGGCCGCTGCATTGCCAGCAAGTTAGAGTGCAATGGAGAAAATGACTGTGGAGACAACTCAGATGAAAGAAGCTGTGGAAGAACAAAGTCAATATGCCCAAGGAATTATTATCCAATCCCGAGTGTGCAACTAATGGGTGCAGGGTAGGTCATCTTTCTTTTTCATTTTTTAAGGAGAAAGGCTAATGATTTGAAAGCAGCAAGTAATGAAGCAAATGTAGTAAGTCATTGGTCTGCCTGCTTCACTACATTCTTGCTGCTCCAGTGAGTCCTGTCTCTGAAAGTGGTGACCATGTACTAGGGACTGTGAACAAAATCCTCACTTCTGGTAAAAATAAAGATTAGTGTGTATTTTAGGTCAGATAAGATTACAGACCTTTCATAGATATTGCTTTCTTTAATCCTCCCCACATCCTTACTAGATATTCCTGAAATAGGAACATTAGAATTTCTAAGTATGAAAAATTCTAGTTCTGATATCTCTAAATGGACTTAGAGCTGGTAGGTGCCAGGATGCATGCTTGGGGCTAAGTCTTAAATTTATAAGCAACACCTATAAATCTCAGGAGCAAATAGAAGTAGAGACCTTTGGAGCAGCACATTTTTAAAGCTTTTTTTTATTATTGATTTTAATGAAAATTTACAGAGACTTTGGATTTCCATTCATTCATTGTTGCACTTTTCTCCCTGCCCAACCTCTCCTGCCTCCTCCACCCCCCGCCAATTCACTCTTCTCTTTGAAAAGTAAAAGAAATTTTCTTTCATTGTTATACATTCCCTCCCCCGCAAGTCCACTCACTATGTAGCCTTCATTTTCAAAAGTAAAAGAAAAATTATTTCATTATTATGCAATCCCTCCCCCCCAAGTTCATTCCACTATGTAGCCTTCATTCTGTGCTCCTGTCATGACAATAATACGTAATCATATATCCCTTTTGAATAGTTCTCTCCCTCATCTGTTTCAATGAAGTATACATGATTTATCCCATCCTTCTCAGTCTCCCCCCACCCCCAAAAGTCAGTCCTGTTTTACAACAGTGGTGGTACATTTGAACTGTTTCCATGTTCTTGTGATGGTGAATAATGCTGCTATGAACATTGGTGTACAAATCTCAGTTAGTGCCTAAGTTCTTATTTTCTCAGGGTATATTCCAAGTAGTGGAATATCTGGGTCATGTGGAATTTCTATGTTCAGCTTTTTGAGGAAGCGCCAAACTGCCTTCCAGAGTAGTACCATTTACAATCTCACCAACAATGTATAAGAGTTACTATCTCGCCACATCCGCTCCAATATTTATTACTTTGGCCACCCGCTTCTGAAATAGCAGGCCTCTGAAAACCCTATGCACAACAGAACACACGCAGAATAACAGAAAGGGCAACCTAGGTACAACTATCAAGTATGGAAATACAAAGGAGGAGGAACAGTTGTAAGCAGACCTAGTGATTAGAACATGGAATGTGAGAGCCATGAATGTAG